GAGTTGGGAGCCAGCTTGCCAGCAGGGTGGCACAGGCTGGGTGTGCAGTGTCCAAGTCTGGGGGGCCACAGTGAGACGGATGGCGGCCAGGCCAGGGCTGGGCTGAGAGCTTGCCGAGGGACCGTGAGGGGTGGGTGCCCAGCTGGCATCTGTGCGCCAGGCCCCCTAGCAGCCACGTGTCGGGGCAGGGCGTCGGACTGAGCTCAAACGCCCAGCACACACGGCTGGGGGCGGGATGCTCAGGGCAGAGCAGCGACTCGGGGGTGGCCGGGCCACCAGGAGCAGGCGATTGGTAACTGGCACCATCAGCCCTGGACTTTCTAAAACAGTTTTACTGAGGTGGAACTTGAATATTGTAACATTCTTTCATTTGGAGCGCACAATTACATTTAATAAATGTACAGGGCTGTGCAACCGTCACCCGATCCAGCTTTAAACAGTTCCTTCTCCCCAAAGGCCCCTCACGCCCGCGCAGTGTTTCCGCGCCGGGCAAGCAGTGTGCTTCCCGTCTCGGTCCCGGCTTCTGCGCGCTTCCCACAGACAGGCGCAGGCAACACGTAGCTTCCGGCGTCTTGCTTCTTGGACACCCAGGTTTCGGGGTTCACCCGTGTTGCGGCAGGTGTTTCATTGTCCAAGAGACTGCAGGAGATCCCACGCCCGTGCAACCCTTCCCTGGCCGAGGGACGCGCGGGCGAGCGCTTCCCTGGCTGTCAGAACAGTGACGCCGCTGCGCCCGCCGTTTCTGCTCCAACCCTTCCCGTCCCCTCCGGCGCTCCAGCGACACCTCCAGCGACACTGGGACTCCCCGTCTGTCTCCTCCTGCCTTCCGGTTTCGCCCGTCCTCCCTCCCTTCATGCTTCATCCCACCCGTAACTCCCTGTCCACCTCCACTAATTCTACTCCACACATTCCCCGAGTTCTTCCGAGTTAGTGCACTTTTGGCTCCAGAATTCCCCTTCGCTCTCTTTTCATATTTTCCAGTCGTTGGCCTCAAGCCTCCATCGCGTCTCACTCCTAGGGGCAGAGCACCTGTGTGCTTCCAACGACACCTGGAAGCTCCCAAATCCCGGCCCCTGTGGGTCTGAGTCTGTCTGTTCTCTCTGGTCTTTTTCTGTTCACGCTTCTGGTCTCCTCCTGTTCATGGTTGTTTTTAATTATATGTGAAAAATCAAAGACGCAACGGGGCCTCGGAAGATGTCCGCCTCCTCCAGTGAGGCTTTGCGGTTGCTCCTGGCAGGTGCCTGGACACCTGAAGCCACCTGGACACCTGGACGGTGCCTCCGGGGTGAGCTCTGGGCTTTTTCTATGTATTTTTAACCTGGCTTTTGTCAAAAGTGCTGCAGAGCCTCTCATTTTTGAGTCGTCTTGTCATTTCTGAACGTTTGGTAGAAACAGGACTGTTGTGTCTGCGGCATCCTGGGCTGCTTTTGGTCTCGGGTCACGTGGGCTTTGTAAGATGAGTTCAGAAGTGCTCCCTCCTCTTCTGTTTTTTGCAGAGAGGCTGAGAAGGGCTGGTGGTGTTCGGTCTTCTTTGAATGTTTGGTCGAATTAACCAGTGAAGCTGTCTGGTCCTGGGCTTTTGTTTGTTGGAAAGTTTTTTTTTTAAAATATATTTTTATTGATTTCAAAGAGAGAGAAAAGGAGAGAGAGAGAAACATCGATGATGAGAGAACCATTGATTGGCTGCCTCCTGCACACTCCCCACCGGGGATCGAGCCCGCAACCCGGCATTTGCCCTGACCGGGAATCGAGCGGCGATCTCCTGGATCCTAGGCCAATGCTCAACCACTGAGACATGCCAGCCAGACTGTTGGAAAGTTTTTGATTACTGATTCAAGCTCCTTACTAGTAACTGATCTGTTCAGGTTTTCTATTTCTTCTTGATTCAGTCTTGGTAGTTGTAGGTTTCTAGGTGTTTATCCGTTTGTTTCAGGTTGTCAGATTTGTTTGGCGCGTAATTATTCAGTGGTCCCATAGCGTTTCTGTGGCATCAGCTGTAACGTCGCTTTCACTTCTGATTTTTTGAATTTTCTCTTTTTCTCTTGGTGAGCCGAGCTAAAGGTTTGTCCATTTGCTTATCGTTTTAAAGAACCAGCTCTTCATTCCATTGATCTTTTCTGTTGTCTCTCGAGTCTCTATTTCATTTGCTTCTGATCTCTGTTCCCTCCTTCCACTAACCTGGGGCCCTGTGCGTTCTTCTAGCTCCTTGAGGTGTAAAGTTATGTTGTTTGAGATTTTTGTTTCTCACCGTAGGCGCTTATCACTATGAACTTCCCTCTTAGGACTGCTTTTGCTGCATCCTGTTAGTGCTGGTATTTCCATTTTCTTTGGTTTCAGGGTATTTACTTCTCCTCTGACCCATTGGTTGTTTGGCAGTATGTTGTTTAATCTCCAGCTGTTAATGTGCTTTCTAGTTTTCCTGTAATTCACTTCTGGTTTCCTATAGTCGTGTCAGAAAAGATGCTTGATGGGACTTCAGTCTTCTCAAATTTATTAAGACTTGTTTTGTGGCCTACCCTGGGGTTTATCCTGGAGAATATTCCTTACGTGCCTGAGCAGGATGTGTATCGCTGGTTTTGGATGGAGTGTTCTATATCTCTCTGTGAAGTCCATCCAGTCTAATGTGTCGGTGAAGGCCAATGGTTCCTTGCTTTTTCTGTCTTGATGACGTATCCATCGATGCAAGTGGGGTATTTAAGTCCCCTACTATTACCACATTCTGTCCGTTTCTCCCTTTAGGTCTGTTAATGTTTGCTTTAATAAATTTAGGTGCTCCTATATTAGATACATATTTACCAATGTTATATTCTCTTGTTGGATTATCATTTTTTTCTATAAAGGTCTCACATATCTTTTGTTGGGTTTATTTCTGGTGCCGTAAGACTTGTGATGCCAGTATAAACAGAATCCTTTGAGAACTGTTTCCTAATTGGTGACTGTATATAGGAATGTTTTTCCTTGTTTATCTGGCTGTACAGCTGAACACGGGTGGATTTTCCATAATCCCATAGCTACTTTTTTCTTTTCTTGCAGCACTGGCTAGGCTCTCCAGCACAATGAACAGACATGCTGACAGTGGGATCCTTACCGTGTTCTGATTTTAAAGGAAATGCTTTGATTATTTCAACATTGAGTATGTTTGTGTAAGATTTTGGAAAGTTACTGTTACCAGATTAAGGAGGTTTTCGATTTCTAGTTAAGAATTTTTTAAAATAAAAATTGAGTGTGTGTTGCATTTTCAGCAAATGCCTTCCTGACCACTGAGGTGATTGCAGGTGTTGAGTCTGTTAATCTGCGTTTGGGAGAGGCTAGGCCGTGCATGAGAATTTATACACTCCGAGACCTCAGCAGCTTGGTTAGCACAGGTTCCTTTTCTCTTTCTGTAAAGTCCAGTGTGGGCAGTGGGGTGATCCTGTCTGGCTCCCTCCACTTGGGCTCCGCTTGTGAACCCCTGGAGTCTGTTGTCTGGGGAAGAGGAACACCCGGTTTTCGTTTATTTTGTTCTTTAGATTCTACATATCAGTGAAATCATATGGTATTTGTCTTTCTCACTTATTTCACTCAAGACAATGGACCCTCTAGGTCCATCCATGCTGTCATAAATGGTAAGGTTTCATTCTTTTTCACAGTCCAGTAATACTCCATTGCATATATGTACCACAGCTTTTTTATCCACTCGTCTACTGATGGGCGCTTGTTGCACCCAAATCTTGGCTGTTGTCAATAATGCTGCAATGAACATAGGGGTGCAGATACTCTTTTGAATTAATGTTTCGGATTCCTTCAGATATTTGCCTAGAAGTGGAATGAATGGGTCATGAGGCAGTTCTACGTTTAATTTCTTGAGGGGATATCCATCCCCTTCTGCCAGAACCACCTAACAGTAGCCAGCAAGTCTGGGGACTAGGATGAATGACCATGCCCTTAGTGAGCACTAGAAGGGGGCACCCAAATTGGGGTCTAGAGTACGTTCACCAACTTACTACTGTCACTCCATCCTTGCATTGGAGGGCAAGCCAATTGCAGGGTCAGGGAGTGCGGATTTTTATGCAGTGCTGGTTTGGGGCTGTTAAAGGTTACTTTAGAATTTTTGCATCAGTACGCACCTATAATTTTCTTGCATGTCTGTGTCTGGATTTTATGTCAGGTTGTATTCTACTCATGAAGTGGGTTGAGAAGTGTTTCCCTTCTGTTCTTGGGGGTGCTTGGGCAAGGCTGACACTGCCTGTCTGGTATAAATTACCTGTAAAGCCTGTCTAGACCTGATGTTTGAAAGTGATTTCAAACCAGAGTTAATTTCTTTGATGTCAAGTGCCTCTTCTTTGTAGCACTTATCATGCTTGTAACATTTCACTTGTGATTTTTAAATTGAGGATTAAATGAGGTAAAGCTGTTTGCAAAGTGCTTGGAACCCAATTCATGCTCAGTAGGTAATAACAGTGTTAACAGCTGACCAGGCCCTGTCATAGGGAGTAACTCACTGAGCCTCCGCAGACCTTACAAGGTAGACGCTGGTATCACTTCCACTTCCAGATGGAGCAACTGCGGAGAGGAGAGGGCACCGCTTACCATGGTCACCTGGCTCATCAGCTGGGAGCCAGGAGCAGAGCCCTTCTTAGCCAGAGCCTATTTCTACAGCATGTGACAAGCATGCAGGTCAGGAATGACCCAAACCCGGCCTCACCGGTTCCTAAGTGATACACCCCCAGTGAACGAGAGTGGCAGTCTACATGAGTGAGGGGTCTGCCTCTCATCCACCTGGGGGGACACCAAATCGCCACTGCACCCCAGAAGCCTGGCCTTGTGCCACCCACAGACTTGGATCCTAGGTTGTGGCTAAGCAAGCAGCTCCCAAAGCCCTCGAGGGTGGGGCGGGAGCCAGGCCTCTGGAAGCAGCTGGTGCTGGGGACGCGGACCCCTCTGTGGAACCACCCCAACAGCAGCCCCATCCGAGCAGAGGCACCGAAGAGGAGGCGCCCAAACCATCCCCACAACACGTGTGCCCAGGCTGCCCTCTGTTTATTCACCGTTTGTGTAGAAGTTGCAGGTCTGAGATGTCTGCAGGGAGATGCCGCCACAGCCCGGTTATTGGGGGTACATATTACAGTGTAACACTGGGGGCGGGGGTGGGGGCAGGGGCAGGGCAGGGCGGTGCTTCTCAGAATCAGGGTTTAGTTCATACATGGCGCCAGTCTGCCCTCTCCTTGGCTCTACCCCACCTGCAGGGACCCAAACCGTACTGGTCGTGTCTGTCTGTCCTAAAGATCGATTCCCACACCCTGCCCCCAAGACAGACAACTCACGGCCACGCTTGGTTCTGGCATGGGGTTCAGCAACTCCCCGAGCTAAGAGGGTGTCTTAATGAGACATGGGTGGGGAAACCCATCATCAATAAGTTAACACACACATTGCACCTGCTTTCCTCACACTGGGGCCACCGGACACACCAGCCCCTTGTCCACCTGCACTGCTTGTCTGGTGTCTGGCACCTCTGCTCAGAGCACCGAGGGCTTGAGGAGGAGAGGGTTGGGCAGGACCACTTCTAAACGGAGGGCAGGTAGAGCCCCACCCCCACCAGCTCATGACTGAGAACCAGGATGACAGGCCGCAGATACGCATCTGTCTGAGAGGGGCTGGGTGTCTGAGGCTAAGTATTTGCCTGTGCAACGGAGGGAGACTGGGGCTCTCCAAATGCAGAGGGAACCATAGTTCCCATAACACAGAGGCCCCGAGGGCCCAGTGGCATTGGCAGAGCTGGGGGCCAGGGAAGACTGACATGAAGACTGAGGACCACAGGCACAGACTAAACCCACCCCACACGCAGCACTGTCAGTAAACAGCAACTCAACACACACTCCTTAAATAATAAAGTGACGTGCTCCACTTGCAGCCGGCAGGATCGCTGCCAGGGGGACGTGACTGACATTTCATAGCCACTCCCTCTGTGTATAGGACAAATGAGGGAAAAGACCAGCCCTACTTTTCTTCTGGGTAAAAGCTTATCAAAACCCATGAAGGACTCAACGTGACAGGATTGTTTCTTAATAAACAAAATCTAAATAACCAACAGATGTTGCTTTCTGCTTTTCTTTGTTCTGGGCTAAGCACAGTTAGGTCCTGGAGTCTGCATGACCAGGTGCCAACCCCGGGACAGGTGCACCCTCCACCACGCACAACAGGACGCAGAGGGCAGGCCTGCCGGAGCCCACAGCAGGCGGGAGCTCCAGCCGGGCACCCGTGTGTGGGGCCCTGCAGCCTGGCCTCAGATTGTCAACCTCAGCAGCACGCGTGGTTTGGACAGGGAAGCACCTGTTCCTGAGACGCTTTCCGGAGATGCCCCATGGGCAGAGGGTGTGGTTGGTCAGCCCTAGGTCCCTGGCCTCTCAGGGACACTGTCCTTCCCAGTGGAGAGCCAACAGTATTGGTGGACAGGTCTCATGAGCAGGAGAAAGAGCCTCTGTCACCCATCAGGATGGAGCAAAGTAGGAGGGGAGCCCGTGGGGCGGGAGGAGACAGGAGATGGAATTTAAGGCACACAGCAAGCGACAGAGGAGGGACCACCAACAGAAATGCCCCTCTACTCTCCCCTCTCTCTGGATTAACTCACCCAAGAGCTATGGGCCCAGCTCAGCTGAAATGCATTTCTTGGATGGTAAAGGCCTCTCGCTCCAACCTCTTCTTCCCAGCTCCCCACAGCGCCAGGTGATGGGAGCGTGCCAGAGGTTGGGTGGGAGAGAGAAGGGGCACAAAGGTGGCGGACGCTGCTACTTACTGCTCACAGTCCAGGAGAGGGCCCTGGGGTTTTAGCAGGCAGCAGGGCAGTGCCAAGGGCAGTACCGTGACAGGAGCGCCAGAGCTCCAGGCTGCCGAGAGGCCACCTGTCGTACCTTCCGGGCCAGGTGAGCAGCTCACCATCCTCTACTTTAAAAAGCAGGGCTGGGAAGTAAAAGCAGCCCCCTATCCCCAGTCTTCTCTGCTCTCTGCCTACCAAGCTAAATGTCCCGTGCACTCAAGGTCACCGGGAGTGCAGCCCCCATGAGGGTCCTTGAGCCTTCACTCATTTCAGCAGATCCAGGACCCTGGAAGTCAGGGAGCGGTGAAGATTCCGCTGCTCCTTGGTCTACTCCTAGGCTGGAGGGGGAGCGGAAGGGACAGGGAGAGGGAAGACAGACGTGAAAGCAGAAACCAAACGAGAAAACCACCGGTTCACAATCAGCAATGAGACCTGCCTGCTGGCTCTGCGCTGGGCTGTGGGCTCCGCTCATGGGGGGAGGGAGCAGGAGGGTGCCCAGGCTATGGGCTCCTGCCATGCCGGGCCCTGTGGCTGAGACCAGAACAGGTGCTGCCGCCACATAACAGGTCCAAAGTCCCTTCCGGTCTCGGAGCCACACTCTGAGCCTCTCTCGAGCGTTCTTCTTGCTCACAGCACCTGCTCCTAGGTCTTCTCTTCCCGGTCTGTTTTTCGCCTTGTTATGTTCCTGGGTTTGATTTTCAGAGAGAGTTCCCATAGGGCCTCCTCGGCCAGGTGGTCACTGAAGTCGTTGAAGAAGTTTATGATGTCGTCATTTCTCCGGATGTCATAATGCCTGGTGGGGAAAGGCAGGCAGCTGGTGAGAGTCCAGGACCTCTCGAAGGTGACCCATTACCACCCAGCAAACAGCTGTGGCAGGGGCCACTGCTGCCCACGGTCTACAGGGGAGGGTAGAAGTGCTGAGACGAGGCCTCAAACTGGGCCCTAAGGTCGTGCTCTGCTTCTTGCAAGGTCTCCCTGAGCAGCACCCCTGTAGCTGGGCTCCCTCTACAAGGTGCTCCAGGGAGCTCGGGCTCCTCAGGCCCCACTGCATGCCCCTGGCCCACCCCCACTGCTCTGAGGTCCGGCGGGCCAGGGTTTGCCAAATTCCTCCTTGCAGCAAGACCAGCTATCAGCTTCCTTGTATGGGCAATGGGGATGAGCTGGCTGCCTGCCACCTGTGGCGGCCGTGGGCCACACTGTGCCGAGCCCCTCACACACACTTCTGTCCTGCTGACAGTCTGGACAAGCAGGTGCTGGATCCCCACTGGTCCTTATCACCTCCCACCTCTGCTCAGGTCCCAGGAGCTGAGGGTCAGGAGCACTCACGCCTGCTGGAAGCATCGCATGCTGTCCAGGATGTTGAACTGCTGCCACCGTTTGGAAAAATTCACCTTGCCGTCAATATAGTCTGGGTTCCCTAGGTGCACGAAGGTGAGGTCCTGCAGGATGAGCCCCCTGGGAGGGTGGAGAGACCAGTTACCTTCCGGGGGTGACTCAGAGGTGGTGGTTTTCAGGCAAGTCGGCTGGGCCACCAGGACGAGTCAGTGCGGACTTGGCCTAGGCCTTTGGGCTGTGCCTGAGGAGCTACCAAAGCCACCAGCACTTCCGGGATGTGTTTGTTTTTTCCAGTGTGAAGTCCCAGCTCCCAAGCCCTGGGTCCCCGGGAAAGCCAGCTCAGGGCCCAAGGAGCGTCCAATGCCTGCCTACTACAGAAGCCCTCGGTGACAGTCCCAGCATGCAGAGGACTATCAGGGAAGTGGTTGCTGCACCAAAAGCCAGCAGAGTTGTGGGTTTGCTGATGTAAAATTCATAAATGAACAGGAAAAAATAAAACCCCAAACTGGGAGTTGGGCAGACGGAGCCCTTCTTCGTAACAGGTGTGGGAAAGTGCCTCTGAATACAGAGGACATGAAGCCACATGACCAGTGATGGCAGTTCCTGCACCCGGGGGGCCCAGCTGGAGGGCCCCGGGACACCGTCAGAGCCCACACCAAAGGGGTGTTAGTGCTCAGTGAGGCCGGAAGGCTGGGAAGCAAGAAGAGGAATCAGCTGTCCCATCTGTGTCTCTGAGAGACGTCCCATCAGACACCCAGCCCTGGGACAGTGCCGACTGACTCTTCCATCCCTTTTAGAGATTCCAGTGTCCACTACCATACTAAGGGCTCTGATAAGACCTGCAACCAAAAAGCCTGTTTAGCTATGATTTTCTGTTAGTTCCTATGATTACTGACCATGGGATGCTTTCCCAGGAAACATCTATTTACTCCATTCCAGGCCCATACTGGGGGACACACTCTCTGAGCTGCTTCACACCAAGTGCTCTCAGGGTTCCTGATGTGATTCAGGGCTCTCGGGTGGCTGTAACGTGCAGCCGAGTTTGAGGACTGCTGAAAGTACACGTCTTGGTTGGAAACCCTTAAGCACGACTCTCTCAAGGAGCCTGCTATAGAATCCCCAGAGCAACCGAGGGGCACACCCAGGCAGGAAGCTCTACTCACAGGTAAGGGATGCACGGCGGCTCCACCTCCGAGAGGGCGGCCCGGTAGGCACGGAAGGAGGACGAGCTGTCAATCAGCGTGCAGTACTCAGCCAGGCCCTGGGAGGGGTGGCGGAGTCCGTGAGCACTGCGCCAATGCTGGGCGCTGAGCCCCGGCCCCTCCTCACCGACCAACTCATCACCCACCCTCTGCCAGTGCGCGAGGATACCCACACATACCGACCCAGAACCGGACGTGGTCTCTGCCCCAGCCCAGTAAGGAGACCAGGCCTTTTGGGGCCAACCATCTATGGCACTGCTTGTGCCCGCTAGGGCCAGATTCTTCCTGATTGGTGGCTCAACAGACACGTAACCTGGAGCTCAGGCTCCCACATGGCCTGGCCCTGCGCTGCAGCCCAGAGAGCGTCTCCCGCTCCCTGAGGCCCATCTTCCTCCCTTTGGCACTTACCCTGAAGAAAAAGGCCCAACAATGTGTCTGCCTGTGCACAGCACACCCCCAGGGCCTAACATGGCCCCTGCCCAAAGCAGGCATTCTAGAGGCACAGGCCGAGGGCAGGAAGGACCAGGTGAAGTTGTGACGGGCCTGTGGCGCAGGCAGCGGGACGCTGTGACGTGACCCCCCAGCACCACCCACGCCCTTCGGGGCCCAATGACTGCAGATTAAGACAGGAGGCTGAGGCGGGCGGGACTGGGCTGTCCCAGCCACACAGCAGGGCGGTGGCAGATCAGGGGCCTGAGCCCAGGTCCCCATTCCTGTGCTGAGCACGTGCTCCCCACCACTCACTTCTGAGGTCTGCTTCTGCCACTCTAGCCTGCGGATGGGCGCCGAGTCCAGCGCCGAGAGGATGGCCAGGTAGGAATTGAAGTTGTTGAGCTTTCGTAAATGCTGCAAAGAGGCGAGGTGGCCATGAGGACTGGGGCGGGCAGGCCTGGGACCTCCCCACCTCCCACCTCCTACCTCCCACCTCCAACCTCCCTGGGCAGGGCCTGAGGGAGCAGGCTCTGGGGAGGGCGCCATGGTTACCTTCATGATCTTGATAAACTTCAAGAGCAGCCGCTCCCTATCCTGGGCCTTTTCCTGTAACATGATTATGGAGCGGACCCTGCACAGACCAAAGGGAAGGAGAGAGCTGAGTGGACTGCACTCCCTTCAAGTGCAGTGTGGTCCTGGTGGAGATGGGCCAGCTGGAAGCATCTGTGGCTTGTAGTGAGTGCGGGGGCTTGGGAGGCACCAATTGCAGCCCTTGTCTTGGCTCTCAAGGAGCTCACAGAATCCCAGAGGGAGGCAAGAGGCCACAAAGGTATCTGGTGGCTGGTGCCAAACACCAGGATGGGGACCTCTGACTGTGCAGGGTTTGGAGGACCAGAGCAGAACTTTCCTGACAAGTGCTGACCCCAAGCACCACTGAGATGGAAGCACTCCTGCATGGCGTTAGGACTAGCTTGGGAGAGGAGCAGGCACGTGGGTTAAGAGACCACCTTGCCAGACACGAGGAGGGCATCCGCTGTCAGTCACTGGGAGGAAGTGCTCCTCTGCTCTGCCTCTTCTCCCCGTTAAAGGGTGCCTGCACTGATCTGCCTTGAGGACTGTGGCTCTGCAGGGGCCCCAACTACACCGCCTCCTAGGCAGACCCCCCCCCAAGGGTGTGCCCGGAGCCCTCTGTGCCCACCATGGGGCTGGGTCTGAGACCAGGCTCAGGGCCATGTGTGGCTACAAACGACCGTGTGCTCTGTTGGGGAGAAAGGCAGGAAAAGCTGAGAATGACCCATTTCTCGCCAACAAGCAGCCCTTGGAGCATTTGAAAAATATTAGACGTCCCCCTTGCTGGCAGCAATGGGTTGTGTGGGGTGGGGCACAGTTGCCATGCCCTGACCGTGCTGCCTCTTTGATGCTGAGAGGCTGTGGGCACTTCTGAGTCACACCTCAAAGAGCCAACAGTTCTGTTATATGGAATATTATAAATACACTTTTGGGCTCTATTTTGCTTTAAGGGCTAAAGACTACATGAAAGTATTGACAGCTACCACTCCTTTGCTATTCTCTTTTGGGCAGAGTCAGTGTGAGGATAAGCCCTAAGGCTGCCCACATGAGTGGGGAGGCTGGCAAGGACCAGAGTGGGAAAGTGAACGTCACCCCTCACCTATGGCAGACAGTGTCAACCAATCCCGGACCCTCCCCTGCCGGGCCTGACCCCTCCACCAGCCCTCTGCTCTGGGTGCCCATTTCAGCGCCCACAGGGCCTCAGGAGCTGGGCAGGGTGAAGGGCCCCTCCTGCCTGCTGCAGGAGCTCTCTGTGGGAGACAGTGGCACGAGGGTGGGGGGTGTGGGGGCCTCACCAGTAGGACATGTTGTTGAAGTGCTCCGTGAACTGGGTCAGGTTGGGGCTCTTCTCCTCGTTCTGTTCTTTAGCCCAAAGCAGAACCTCAGGGATCTGAAAGAGGAAGCAGGCTGAGTTGGGCTGGGCCCTCTGGCTCTCCTGCAGTGGGGCAGTTCACCAGGCAGAGCCGGCCCTCCCAGCAGCCCCCATGGCATACCTCTATTTTATAAAAGAGCTCGGCATCCAGCAGGGTCAGCTGCTCAGCTATCTCATGGCTGTGAAAGTCATGCAGGGTCCCCGGCCTGGAAGACAGACGCGTGAGATGAGTGGACAAGGATGGTGGGAGCTGAGCAGGCCACAGAACTGAGACTGGAGGGAGTGACCACCTCCACAGTAGAACACGGGCTCCTGCCTAGGACCACGGTGCCAGCCCCTTTCTGAGCCCATGGACAGCTCGGCTGCCCGAGAACTGAGGGCCCAGGGGAGCAGAGATGGGTGCCATATGAACGAAGGTGGAAATGGTCACTAACAAACCATCTACGGCTGGAGTAGAGGGAGCAGGCAACAGACTGGAACCTACATATAGGGTCTTGGGAACATTCAGGATGGCACAGCACAGCAGGGCTGGGTGAGAATTAACAGCAGCCACATTAGTGCGGGGAAGAAAATTAGGAGCTGACCATAGCCTGAAGCACGTTCACCTGCCTCTTATCCTGGTAATCCCCACACGCCCTGGTGCCCCACTTCCTGGTAAAAAGGGGACTCATCATACAACAGAACCCTGGATAAGAGGCCCGGTGCCCAGGGAACCTGCTAGGCTGTCCCCGAGCCACCTCACCAGAGGGCCTGGCAGAACTGGACGTGCGGCTGTGGGCTGGGAGGCGCACTGAGGAAGCGGGAAGCAGAGGCAGCTGCTGGGCTCAGCTCTTGCCAGAGGAGGCAGGGGCTGGAGGTGCCATGGACAGATGGCGGGCGGCTCACCTGGCTGCTACCCCCCTGGCTGCCAGGGGCTGGTCGGAGTTGGCACATCTGAGCAGCTTCTTCTGGTCCACCTTGTCCAGGATGTTCTTCCGGAGCACACGGGCCAGGCTGAGCTCCCCGTTGCATACCAGGCGAAAGACCAGTTCCATCAGCAGTTTCAAGATCTCTTCTGTCAACTCCACTAGGCTACAGGGCCAAGGCCAAGGCCAAGAGGTGAGGGGTAGGAACACAAGGACAGGAAGAGGATTGCTGCCACTGGGTCCAGAGCCACCTCAAGATACCCAAGGGCCCTGCGGCAGCCATCAGCAGAGCTGGGAAACCTCTTATGGGCTGAGAGCAAGAAAAGGACCTGGGATAGCTGCTAACATCCTCACGAGTGCTGGGGGTGACCCCAGTGGTAATAAGTGACGACTGTCCTCTCAGCAAACACTTGCTGGCCCTGGAGATTGAGCCAGGGCCGTGGAGACAAATCCCACTGAAATCCTGCTCTGGAGGAGCTCCAGGTTCTGCAGGGTGAGGAGTCACTGAGAGGTCCTGGCCCTCAGACTAGAGGCCCACAGGACCCCAGACCCGCCCATGCACAGCACTCTCCAGGCGTGGAGGTTTCACAGCTATGTGTCACCGGTTAAGGCTATCCGCTAACAAAGGAAAGCACCTTCAAGGCAGGGCCTGGGTGGTTTCCTTCCCCAGCCTAGGAAAGGGCTGGCTTGATGAGTATTTGTTAAATAATGGAAATGGAGAGGCCATATCAGCACAGCATGGAGGGCTGAGGAGGGTGGCGAGGGATAGTTCCCACCAGGAAATCAGGGTGTGCGCCAGCGTGGGTCTTCGGGGATGGGTTATTTTACCCAGGGTCATGTTAGAGCAGGCTGGAGTGAGCATGATCCAGAACAGTGGGCGAGAAGCTGGTGGGACGTGATGGGATGCCCTGAGCTCAGTGGGGAGGCCTGCACCCTGCAGGGATCCAAGACCCTGGGGAGGGCGGGGGCCACACTTACCAGAGCTCATCCACCACCCGCACCAGCACGAAGAACGTGTTCTTGCTAACGCGCTTCTTGAATGTATCAGCGAAGGGAGAGAACTTCTCGTATGTGGAGTGCGGGTTAAAGAAAGCGTTCTTAATGGGGGGATGGGAGGATGTGAGTGGGAAGGCCGCCTTCTGCCAGCTACCACTTATTGAGTGCCACGATGTGCCAGGGAGCCTGGATGAGGCCCTGCCACCCGAGAGCGAGGGCACGGGGATGGCAGAGGCCTTAAAGTGGGCTCAGTATAGACCTGACTGTCCTCAGCCACCACCCTCTTCTGCTCGCAGGTCCATCCCCACTGCACTGCCCAGGTGGTTCATCTGAGGTTCCTGCTAGACTTTCTATAATGCCAAGGCCTGCCTGCTGAGCACCAAGTAGAGAACGGGGGTCGGGTCACAAATCACACGCCCTGACCCCCATGTCCCAGGTAGGCGCACAGCCGAGGTGGCTTCCTGCACTCGAGTTCCCACCCTCTTCCTACAGCCTGAGGAATCACCAAGGAACATCTGCTCCTCCCCCACAGCAGCCCTTCAAACACCTGACCACCTTCAGCAATTCCCAGGGTTCCCGCCACCCGCTGCAGACCCTTCTCCCGCTCCAGCCTGCCTGCTGCCTAGTGACTGGGAGTGTCAGGAAGGGCCAGTGCACTGGGGACAGGCCTCAGGGCCTGAGCACAGAGGGCTCACCAGCCAGCTGTGCTCTGGTCTTGATGCTGGAACATTTCCACTAATACCCTGGAAATGGCTGAGCCAGGAGGTGCTGAGGACCTGAGCTCTGGGGTCACAGAGGCCTGGGCAGGGTTGGGGGTGGCTCTCTCCAAACAGCCACACAGATCACTAACCTCTCTAAGCCTCAGTTTAATTACATACAGGAATATAAAGACACCATACATGACATGGTAATACAGGTATAAACTGGTTTTATAGCTGGGTGGAATCACATGTGCACATGCCCAACACCAGCAAGTTCTCAACAAGTATGAGTTACGGTCACTGGCTGCATTGGGCCTGCGAGGAACTGAATGTGTGAGGCTAGAGGAAACCTACATCTTTAGATGGGGACTGTCTGCTTCAGTGCAGAGGGGCCAGGCCCTCTAGGGTGAGGACAAGGGGAGAGTGGAAGGCTCGGGCTGTGGGGGAGACAGAAGCCAGCAGGGGAAGCCTCAGGGCACACAGGAGGGGAGAGCTGGGACCCCAAACTTCCCACCCAACTTCCTACCCATGACAGCTGCTATCCAGCAGATGGCAGTCACTGGCCATCTGTGTGGGGACATGGCCAAGGACCCTGGGCTGGCCCCCTTTGGGGCAGGATGGGCAGGTTGGGACAAAGAGGCATCAGAAGTGGGTCTCCCTGAGCCAGGACTGCAGGCAGTGGTACTGGAAAAGGTGACCTCGCAGGCAGGTGTGGTCAAGGGGCAGGAGCCCATTCTGTCCTGGACGTGGAGCTTCTGTCCACAGCCAAGTCTGCCGTGAGGGGGAGGCCACGCCCACCCGAGGCTGTTCAGTTGAGGCGTGATTCCCTCCAGCTCTGCCCCTGTGCACTGGTCAGCCCAACGCCCTGGGGCTCCCCTCAGAAGCCGCAGGTGCCAACATCCTGGGCCTCTGCAGGGGCCTGTCTGTTCCCTCCCCCAGGCTGTCAACTCTGTTTCAGCATCACCCAGTGATCAACTATGTACCCGGCCCTTCTCACAGTCTCACTCAGCCCTTTCACAGACGGGCCAAGGTGTGCAAAGAGGAAGCCTTGCCTGAGGTCCAAAAGCTAGGACATGGGGCAGACAGGGCTGCACCTCCATCCCATTGCCCTCCACGGCCGCCTGGCCCCTGAGGATGAGCCCCTGAGGACTGAGTGGGCAGCAGGCCCCAGGGAAGGATATCTGTACTGCAGCTTCTTGATGAGCTCCTCGGGGGTGATGAAGGTCCTGTAGGTGGTCAGGAAGGCCTCACAATACAACACCAGGTCTAGAGGGAAGAACAGTGGTTAGCCATTTCTGCTGCAACGGGCCTCCTCTGGTTAAGACACCGAGAGCTCAGATCTGGCTATTCAAAGGGTCTTAGTCATGGGCACAGAGAAACTAACTCAAACTCATCAGCAGGGTTTTGAAGCTAAATCATAGCTAATATCTTCGGATAGCAGAGCGCAGGAACAAAAATGTTGGGAATTTCCACAAACTGAGAGATCTACGGAAGGAAAAGTTGAAAGGGCAGAGCTTGGCATGCTGCTGGAAAATGCAAGTGGGCATGCTTGGGTGCCAGGGAAGGGCAGGGCCAGCGAGGAGGAGCCCACTTCCAGCAGTCAGGGGCCCTTGGGCTGGCAGCTCCCACATGGCCTCCCCTTCCTCTGCAGGGGCTGGTGTTCCTGACCTTTCTAGTCACAACAGCTCCATTTATGTTCGTTTGTGACCCACTCCCAGCCATATAGTCCCTGACACTAAAGAAAAGGAGTGGAGTGCTTTAACGCAGGTCACTCCCTGAGACAGCCGGCCTGGCCAGGCTTGTGAACTTCAGAGCTATTCTGAGCTGGAGCTGAGGTCCAAGTCCTGATTTGACTCCAAAGTATGTGCTCTTCACCGCAAGGCTGAGCTTGCGTACATACTACTGACATGTTCTTGTCTGGACACAGATCCCCTTCCCCTATCACCAGTTTTCTGGCTGAGAAGTGCAGGCTTGGCTGAACCCAGCTCCCACCCCCTGCCCTTGCAATCACTTCCCGGGACAAAGGAGAGGAAAAGCAACACCTGCTCCTGTGTCTGGGGTCTGAACTAGGGGGTGGGGAGGTCAGTTGAAAGAGTAGGTGTTAGGAGGGAGGCTCACAGGCTGGAATCACAGCATCATGTTCAGGCTGCTTCCTGGACCCCCAAACCCACTTGCTCACTGTCAAGTTTGGGCTTTTGTTCAGAGGGGCTGGGCAAGGAAGCAGAGATGGGTCCAGCCAAGCCAACGCCTGCTTTTGGAAGACCAGACCCACGTTGGCACACCTCTGAGCTGCGGGGCCTCCCAGTCCAAAGCCACCGGTGCAGTCTCTGGTCCACAGGAAGCCACGCTGTGGAACCTGCTGTGTGGCCCAGGGCCTCTACCTCAGCAATCCACCCCAGGTACAAACAACTCTGGTTCCCTGCAGCCTCGAAATCTTTCCATGAATAAAATCAAGCAGAAGCCCAGCTGGCAGTAGAGCCTCCTTGCCCAGGCAGCCGGCACAGACTGCAAGGTTCTTGGCTGCCCTGACTGCAGGGCTCCCTCTGCCTTGGCCACAGCTGGCTGCACCTGGCAGGACAGTGTTCACTGCTCAGAGCTGAGGACTGGAGCCAGCTCCCACTTCACCCCTATACTTTTGGGCAAAAGTGGAAATCATTCCTCCTGCCGGGCTGAGGCGTGGAGGGACACTCCATCTGTGCAGACGTGTGCCATGTCTGTATATTCCACTGTCACGTCCACTGGGCACTGCTAACCTCTTCAGAAGCTGAGTCAGCTGAGCTTGAGAGGGGAGGTTGTGCCCAGTGGCTGCCCGGGCCTGTGACTGGCACAGCCAGGATTTGAATCAGTCTTCAGGCCTGGGTCTGCCCCAGGAAGGGAGACACCCTAGAGGGCAAAACGGTGGCTGTGGGGAGTCAGTGAGAGCAGATTCTTCTTTTACTGTTTTTCAAATTTTCTGCAACGTAAACATTCTCGTACTACTTTCATAATTAGAAAGTTCCCAGAATCATACTTTGAGAAATCTGCTATAAAAACAGGGATTTGGTCATTTACAAAAACAAAATTGGGGGGGTTAGGATTTGAGGTGTTTGAATTCCATCCACACCTTACTTTGGCACTGTGGTTACATCACCTCACAATAACTTAAAACATGTAAAAGGAAGGCCAGGCCGGTGTGGCTCAGTGGTTCAGCGTTGACCCACGAACTAGGAGGTCATGGTTCGATTCCCGGTCAGGGTACATGCCCAGGTTTCGGGCTGGATCCCCAGGAGGGGTCATGCAGGAGGCAGCCGATCAATGACTCTCTCATCATTGATGTTTCTCTCTCTCTCTCCTTCCCTTCCTCTCTCTGAAATCAATAAGACATATTTTAAAAGATGTAAAAGGAATATGAGTGTGGGGAGAGACCTGGCCCAGCTATGGGGGCACAGGTACTGCTGCCCCTCCCCCATCCTGGCTAAGGTCACTGGCACCTTCCGTGGCCCCTCGTTCTCCCCTGGCAGACCACAGCCTGGAAGGACAGCTCTCCTGCTAGCAGAGTCCTCCAGTAGGAGGGTCCTCGCTCCTCCACCCCTCAGAGGATCAGGACGCTGAGGGTCGGGAACCCCTCCTGGAAGGAAGCAAACCGTGTAAGGCTGAAGGCTCTTGGGCAGAACATGAGTGGAATCCCATTTAGTGGTCTGGAACAATAGGAGAAGTATAAAAAGCTACCTGTGAGTCATCTTGACTATTGTTGAACATGTTTTTACTGAGGTACTGTTTGTGGAGCTGAGCTAGGTGCCAAGCTCTGCGCTTGAAACTTGCCCTCCCTACACTCCGGTGGGTCCCAGGGTCATCACTACCTTGCACCAATGGGGGCACACTCCAAGAAGGCCGGAAGCAGAGGCCTGGCTTTCAATGCTGGTTCCCCAGGTGGTCTCCAACCGTGATGACCCAGCAGCACCGCCATCCTGACCCACTCAGGGCTGGCGGAGAGGGCAGGGTAGTGGACGGCTGCAGCAAGGCCCGCCCAGACCCAGGAAGCTCTGAAGTGGACAGAGGCAACTGCAGAGGCCCTGCCATACCTTTCCTGTCTGTTTCAGTAGCGTGAACCAGAAGGATGTCCCCGGATCCTCCACGGACGTCAGGCCCATCATCGCCCTGCAACGACAGCAGCCCGGGAGGGCACAAGGCAGCATGTAGTTGTGGGAAGTCAGTCTCAGATGCCATAGGCAGGGATGAGGTGACAAAGATGCTGTGCCACAGAGGTCACAGGTTTCCTTTCCCTCGGCTCTCCCTCAGCCTGGGGACAATGTGGCCATGCTGTGGAGGCCAGGCATGCCCATCCCGCTCATCCACTGTTCTGAGCTCAGCAGGCAGGCACAGAATGAACTCATCTGGGTGGACAGATGGCCCTGGGGCTGCCCAGACATGGTGGCCACCGGGGCACATTGCTCTGAGACACCCCTGGGCCAGGGGTACACGGCAATATCCATCTTTCCCTGTTCACCAGCCCATGGGTCAGAGAGGCGAGGAGGGAAGTTCTCACATCCTGGGGACAGTGGGACCCCACGGGGAGGCAGGCAGGACGGCCACCACCTCTCCGGGAATAACTGGAGCAACGGGACTATTTCAGGCATGTTCATGACTGCAGCGAGCTGCCCTAAATCTAAACCTGCTTCCCCTGGTGGAAGGAGAAGTCACTTGTTATCATGTCACAGGTTCTTCTAGGGAGCCCTTCTTAGAGGAGTGTAGTGTCACAAAAACATCTGAACTACACCTCACATTGCTTATATGACCCACAGCTGTGACTGCCACCTACCAGTTAAGGAAACGGCCTTATTTCCATGTGAACAAAGAGAGGCCTTAGCCCATTAACCTGGCCTGGAGCCAAAAAAGAGCTGTTACCAGGGCCTGGCCTAGAAGCCCAGGTCACAGAGCACTGGGCCTGGCCGGGCCCATACTCCGTCATTGTGACTGAAGGGAGTGCAACCACATCACAAGCCTCCTGGTGTCTGCAGCTCCTGTTCTTTCAGATGCATGTGCCTCATCAGGGCTTCAGTGCTTACTCCTGGGCTCCAGAGTTCTGAAAGTGTTTTGGATTTCCAGCGAAGAGTGGGGTTGCTATGCCCATGACTTGATTTTTCAGAAAAAATTTCTGGGAAGGGTCACGAACCAGCACTTTTCTCTGTAGAGGAGCCAGCTGTCCATGTGCCCTGTCACCCCTGCCTTCCCGACTCCCCTCTGCACTGCCTGGCCAGCTCAGCCCGGCCCTGCAGTGTGCAAAGGGCAGGATCCACCTGCGTGTCCGTGCGTCTATGTGCTGCCGCTGGGTCAGAGCCCAGGAAAGTGGTCGTGTCCTCAGAGTGGGCCATGTTATTAAGCCATTCCTGTCTCCAGAATCGCATGGTAGAGGGGAGACGTGCAGTACTTTCAGGTTAGCTCCTCTTTATCTGACAGGTTTGAGCACCGTTTTTACCAATCAGGCTCTCCTGACAAGGCACCAGCTGTATCTGCTGCTGGAACTGGGGGGGGTTATTCTATCAATTACAACATAACTGTCTTATGCTAATGAGGGCTCACCACACTGGCCCCTATGCTGAGCACCTTACATGGATTTCATCTTCACAGACCATCCACCTGGGGCTTAGAGATGATCCATAACTCGCCCAGATCACTCGCTAGACATCCAGAGAGGGGGACAGCGCACCTCTCCCATTACTCCTCCATCTGCCTAGGATCTGTCAGCACCCATGACGGCCCGGGCACCAAGCCAGGACAGAAGAGGTGCATGGAGCCCACAGCCTGGGTGGCCACCTGGAGGCCCAAACCTGGCCTGGTCTTTCTATGACACGCCTCAAGGTTACCTTCTCGAAGCCCCTCACCCTCACCCTCACCACCGGGCAGACCCTGCACAGAGGCCTGCGAGGCACTCACCTCTTGCTTGAGTGTCAGCCTCGCCATGATTTCACTGTGGTCGATGAGGGACAGTTCGTCCACTTCCTCCTCCGACTGAGCCGAGTCGGGAGCATCTGGTGACTTCGGGGCCCTGAGGGAAAAACGGGTTGTCCTGCACATGTCAGAAAGGCTCCGACCCCATGAGGCCTGGAGGCTGAGGCAGTGCATCCCTGGTCATGGAAATCATGCCCTGAGCAAGTTGCCCTAATCATAGCTACAGTGGGCAGCCAGACTCACTGCGCACCCCACCTCAGGAGTTGTGGGACCCTGGGCCCTTCCCTGCTCTCTCTGGATGATGCCGCTGGAAATAGAAGGGGTTAGGCAAGGAGAGCAAGGAGGTTCCAGCAGTCTATTTACATCAGCACTGGTCTCCGTCACTCTCTGTCAACGCCCACTGTGTGCGGTCAGTACTGAAGGAGGGGAACAGCAAAAGGCGGGGCGGATGGGAGAGTGTTCATGTGGCCTCAATGCCACTGCCCAAGTCTTTGCTGAGGGCCATCTCTCTGTGAACCCACAGACTACCCTTGTCCCAGGCCTCTGGGTCTAGCAGGAGACAAGACGTTAAAACAAGCAGGGGTCCAAGCTTTGTCCCAAGAGCAGGGAAGGCCCCTTGAGAATGGGACACACAAGCTGAGACTGAAGAGCTGAGTAGGTGTTTGCCGGTGAAGGGGGAGGAGAGATTCCCTGACAGGAAGCAGATGGATGGCTGGGGGGCATTCGGGGGGCATGGGCACTGGTTCTGTAGGCACCTTACTTTCCCTGAGTTTTTTCCCACATTCTCGATTTATAGTTAAGATTTCAGATTTACAGATGGGTCCTATGAGGCACTGGCAGCCCTTGTGGTCACAGGCCAGCCACATTTTTAACCCTAAGTATCTAAGACACGGAAGTTTGTGCCTCCCTGACTGGTGTGGCTCAGTGATTGAGCGTTGACCCATGAACCAAGAGGTCACCAGTTCGATTCCTGGTCAGGGCACATGCCAGGGTTTTGGGCTCCATCGCCAGTAGGGGGCTTATAGGAGGCAGCCGATCAGTGTCTCTCTCTCATCATTGATGTTTCTCTCTCTCCTTCTCCCCTCCTCTCTCTAAAATCAATTTTAAAAAAATAAAAAAAATAAAAGTTTGTGCCAACACTGAAGGGCCAGAGCAGAATTCTGTGGTCCTGGACAGAACCCTGTGTCAATACCTCTCATCAAGGTCTGTGGTTTGGCTTTTACAGAAAGAGGACAACGTGCCAGTGCTGTTTCTCACTAGTCTGTGTGCCTGTCCCCTGCCTCTTTCACAAAGCCAGCGGGACTCTGAGAAATGGCACCCTCAGGCTCAGTGAGTGAGACAGAACCCACGAGTGGCTGTTGTGTGGCACAGACACACTTTGCCACTGGGTGTTGAATGAGAAACCCCACTACCTTTACTTAACACTTGGGGAGCCTTAGCCTAGCGGATGAATCAGGCTTTCCACGGACAGAGCTGGCTGAGAGCAGCCTGGTGGGCCGGCGCTCTTCAGCGGGCCCCTAGAGGATGCTTTCTGGTAGTTTTCTTCTGTCTCTTGCTATTTTACTGCCTCTTCAACTATTTATGCTTAGGCCTGACAATGACAACTGGGTATTGCTTAGCTTTGCAACCAGGACCCCACAGGTAGCTGAACCCTGGCCTGGAGAGGGACGAAAAGCTTGAAAACGGGGGGTAGGCAAAAGGAGGGTCACAGCTGTTTGTGTGGAAAATAGCACAATAATTAATAAATGACCACACAAGAATAACTCTGCTCCCGTGCTCACAGCTGTAAACCTGCTTTTGCCCACCCGTACACGGCACACTCCACAGCAGCGGAGCCCATGTGCAGCATCAGGTGGTTGGGCCGACGTGCAGGCCACACACATCATGTTTCGTAAAAGCACGTCAGGGACATTTACTACCTACCTCCAAACCCGGTCGGGTCTGACTCAGGCTAATACTGAAAAATGGAGCAAGAGATGAGAGGGACATACAACTAAGTGCAAAGGTGACTCCTGACTGATCTTGGTTCCAAACAAACCAGCTGCATAAGACGTGTTAGGGAGAACCAGGGAGCTGCGATGGCGTGCCGGCAAGAGGAACGGTATTAGCTTTCTTGGGTGTGTAAGGTATTGTAATCAGGTAGGCCTTTAAGTTTTCGGGAGGAACTGAGTGTCCTGTCTGTAACTTACTCTCAAGTGGTTTAAGAATATAATATATACAGTGTATCTATAAACTCACAATAAAGTCTTTTTGGGGGGATTTTTTATACCCCCTCACTGCACCTGAACTTGGGAGAGGTCGAGGAAGGTTGGCCTAGGATTTGAAAGATTGTGATAGGCAACTTGTAGGGTGGATGTCACGTGTGCAGATCAAGCAGTAATGGCCAGCTGCATGCCAGAATGAAGGCCTTCGAGGGATGGGCTATTTGTGATTTTTTTCCTGTTTTCTTGCACTTTTCTGTACTTTCCATGTTTTCTACCCTGAGCACGTATAATTTTGAGAGCCATAAAAAAGAAAGAACCTGGACATAAAGCTCTCGCAGGCCTGATGTGCTGGCTGGAAGGGGCAGTCGGGCCACTCCCAGGGCAGACTCACTGCTCTCAGAACCCCTGACCCCACTTGGGCCACTTCCTACCTTTCTCCACCATCTCTGCTTTCCTTCCCGGGGACATTGCCGATTGAAGAGGGATCTCTGGGATGTCCGTCTTTCACAGCTGGTGATTCCTGAAAAGACAAGTCAGTGCTGGGTTTGTGACAGGTGCCCACGCTGAGGCCGATCTGCTTCCCAACATTCCTGCCTGTAAGTGGCCTTGGAGTGTAAGTTCCTAGGGAGCGGTCCAAGATGTGAACCAGTTGCCCATGAATGTGGTTCATTACACAGAAAAGCACAGGCCCTCTTCAGACTAGCATCTCGCCCTCCAGGGACAGTGAAAGATGCCACTACTTGTAACACGTGTCAGCTGCCAACCGAGATGAAGCTATCCCAACCACCCCGTGGAAGATAGGATGTCACAGTCGCTACTGCTCAGCAGAGCTCAGCTAGGCACCGTGCCCATACTAAGACCTGTCTGTTAGCTGGCACCATCATGCCCATCCACACACACACACACAGAGGCTGGGACAAAGGAAGGACCCTGCCCAAGACCTCACAGCTAGAAGGCTGCAACCTCGACTCAGACCCAGGGCTGTCTACCCCCTAAACGTGTGTCCTTAATCACTGGGCCCTAATGGTGGGCAGCTAAGCTTCGCTGACCCCCTTGTTAAAGACCGTCCTCAGGACTGCTAAGCTCGACTTGGCCTCCCAGGGATGGCTCCAAAGGGTCTAGCTGCTCCCATGCAGGAGTACAACCCCCCCCTCCTCCAGCAGCCTCACTCCTTTCTGGGAATCTGGGCCCACTCCACTCAGCAACAACATCCCTGGTCTGCTATCCGGGCCAGGTCAGAACGGGGCGGCAAGAATCCGTGGGACATAGTCATGGAGAGGGTTCCTGGTGAAGCAGTCAGCACTGAACATGTTCCAGGTAAAGAAGTGGGCCCTGGAGGGCCAGCCCAGGGTGGATGCCACCCTGTAGAGGCTGAGCTGGATGATGCCGGGGGCAGGGGCATCAGAGTGGATAGGTAAGGTGGGAACTCCAGGAGAGATATAGCTAAGCCTTCACACATGGGGTCAAATCCCACAACATTCTACGACTTGCTAACACCTGAAGTGGGGCAGCGTTGTGTGGACACCTAGAATCCTGTGTGGATCCCCTTGGGAGCTGTCTTAACAGTAGTGAGTACACTACTCAGGGGCTGGACCCTGTGACGGATCACATGGAGGATGCATGGCCCCTCCCCTCAAGGACTCGTCCCACTCAAGATTGCGGGGAGAGTTACTTTTGAGGCTTTTGAACTTGCTCATGTTCTGCTGTAGCAAAATCTGGAAGCTGACTGCTCGACAGAACTGCTGAACCTCACTCAACTGGAGCTGGGACAGCAGTAAAACATGGGGGACAGTGTCAGGTGGTCCTCCACTCTCTCAGGAAGGGGTATGCGTAAGCACAGCAGGGCCCACCTGCCACACTCAGTGCTCCCGGGGAAGCAGTTGGCAAAGGGGTGAAGGGTGAGCTGGGAAGGAAGAGAAGCGAAGGTGTGGAGGCTCCATGTGGGGAGAGAGCCCTCCCTATGCGAGAGGCACTGAGGATGGACCTCACGCTAGAAGATGGGACAGAAAGAATGCCGAGAGCAGCTGGTACACGGCCAGGCCATCAGCAGGCTGCCCTGCAGATTCCAGAGGACCCATGGGCCAGGCTCGCGGAGCGCCGCATGCACAGAAGCAAAAGCCACGAGAAGACCTCCACAGGAGTCACATCCTCTCCCCAATAGGCCCGGTCTGCTAGTGACCGGGAGGCTGGCCACACAGAAGCCGGGCCAAGCCCTGTCGGGCCGGCCACATGCATAAGGCAGCCGAGGTTACTTACTCCTCGAGAGTGAGCCAGCTCCTCGCCGCTCGGGCCAGAGGAGTACAGACTGACGTATTCACCCTCACCAGCCTCCTCGCTGGCGTGTTCACTCTGGGGGAGACAGGACGAGAGGAAAGCACATGTGACAGGCCCTCAGGATCGAAGGGCAGCCTGCTGGGAGCCCCACCAGGATGCTCCTTTCATGGGAAAGAGAATATGGTGACAGTGTCAGAGAACAAAGCTGCTTGGCCACCTCTAACTTGTACAGGGAACAAATGCTGTACTTTCTCCAAAGATGTCAAGGGCCATTCAACTGTCCTGGGGAGGCACAACCCTCCCCACTCGGCCATCGTTGGGACTGCAGGGTCCCCAGCGCGGTGGGGGAAATTATGGAGGGAAAGAGGCAGCTATCAAGACGACTCAACATGCTGGAGTCGGTTCCCACTGCCTGCATTTGCTCTGCCCCATCTACTTGCCCCTGTCCTTGTGCCCAGAGGAGGCTCTGCAGTCCATTAGACAGCACAGGAAAGCAGGCCCTGTGCTCAGCACCACACAACTAGAGGGCAACTGTCTGATCTCTGTACCTTCCTCTAAACACCACCAACCGAACAGAAAACCAGCAGCATTTCCTCTCACGCTCACGATCACCGACAGCCTCTAAATGGTCACGGGCCCACTTGCGGAAACTCAGATCCCGAGCCTGTAGGGGATTTTGTGGAATGGGCTACTGCTTCCCTGTGACCTGCGCAGACCTCCACGTGGCCGTGCTGCTCAGGGCACACGGCGGCCGCAGAGCTGACCGCTGGTGGAGGAGCTGCTCTCACGCACAGTGACACCGCGTCCGCACAACGTGCAGCCCATACCAGGGGGTGCGAGTGCTGAGTTCTCACCGAAGGCGTCTGGGGCGAGTCAGAGAGAGAGGTTTCGGGAGGAAGGCAGACAGTGTTCCCATGAAAGGTGCTCTCCTGAGAAGATGAAAGAGGCCCGTCCACGGTGCTGGGAGGCGGGCTGGCCACGGCCGGCACCGCCAAGTCCGAGCTCTGAGACTGGTGGACAGGCGGGAAGTGTGGAGAGGAAGAAGAGGTAGGCGGGAGGAAAGGTTGTACAGAAGCTTGGTTGTGAGGCACGAAGTCCTGGGAGTAGGACCTAAACACAGATTTATACTAGAGAATCCAAGTGGAAAACAAACAGACGAGGAGATGGGGAGAAAAAGAAACAGAAAAAGCAATTAGGTTAACTCGGCCGAGCTGACAGGCTGCTCGCAGCAACCGCAACGAGGGCCACTGGTCAGGCCCCACCAACCCGCGGTCCTCTGGCCTGAGGTGCCCCTGCCCAGCCACCCTCCCGAGAAGGCCTGGGACTGACCAGCCCTGTCCTCAGGTCTACACAGCAGGATGCCCCTGAGGACAGCAAGCCCCCTGCTCTGCAGGGGTGGTCACGTCCTCTGCTCGTCACACATCCCACTCTATGCCTTCTGTCCTTTCAGGAACCTTGTGGCTAAATTCAACATGTGTAGTCAGACACCTGGTCATCTTTACTCATTTTGAATCTTTTGGTTAAGTAAATCTCTTTGGATTTATCCCCTAAAAGTCAAATCCTACAGCCCTTTCAGTATTGTAACTCATCTCAAATCCTTTTGGAAGGGCATGAACCTTAAAAACAGCTGGAAGAATTGTGCTATCAAAATGCTAAAAATTTCTGAGTTCATTTCCCTTTCCAGCCAATCTGTTCTTGTTTCCTGTCTTCCCCCCCCCTTCCTTTCTTGCCCTCCCCTTCCCCTTTCCTTTCCTTACTGAAGTGATCCTGAATGCCTCTGATGCCCTGCAGAACCCCAGGGCCATACTCCCCAAATTCCCACCCGGGGGAAGACCTGAGGCCAGGCTGGGATGGGACAGTGAGCACTCTCCAGGCGTGGGCTCTGTGAGAGGAGGGCAGAGGAGCTGAGACCACTGACCACCAGCTAAAGATGTGACCACGTCACCATGTCCTGCAAAGGGCCTGCCGACACGCTGCTAAAAGGTCACAGAGAAGAGGGAGAGCGTTGGAAGGGACTGTGACTGAAGTCCTAGCCGGGCGCCTTCGCTGCACCATTGAATGGAAAGCTCCTCTTCCCTCCCTGGGGAGACCAAAGCCCTCTCACCCCGTGAGCACCAGGGGATGCTGGTTTACATCACACCCAGCGGACCTATGCTAGGTACTGACTCACACATTTTATTTCCTCTTCTGACACAAACTCAAGGCCAACCCCTGGACAGCTGAATGAATGAGTGGACCATCTAACACTAAAGCTTTGATTCCTGCTGAAGGGAAGTTCTGTTCAGATCTTTCTTTCCAGGAAAGTTGGGTGAGTGGACCACTGGCTCAGCACCCAAGCCCTGCTGCTCTCACTCTTGACGGCTGTGCAGCCTGAGTGTCCATAGCGCCCTCACGAGGTTCCAGAGAGCCCTGGCCGGGTCACTCGGTTAGAGAGTCGCCCTGATATGCCAAGGTTTCGGGTTCGATCCCCAGTCAGGGCACATATGAGAATCAACCAATGCATGGGTGAATATGTGGGACAACAAATTGACATTCTCTCTCTCTAAAATCAATTAAAAACACACACACACACAAAACGCTCCAGAGAGATGCTGGCCCTTCTGCCATGTCAGAATACAATGAAAAGTCTGGGACCTGGAAGAGGGCCCTCAGCAGACCATGCTGGCACCCCGATCTTCCAGCCTCCAGAGCCATGAGAAATAAATTTGTTGTTTATAAGCCACCTGATCTGTGGTGGTTATAGCAGACAGAATGGACCAAGACAAAAAGGCGGACCCTTCTAGAGTCCCGACACTGTCCTCATTGACACCCCACCCCCGAACACTCACTCGGCACTTAGCAGGCCCTGCCACACTTGAGACCCTTACATGCACACAGCTACTGTGTAACCACACGACGCGTCGTGCTTGATAGCTTCCTGACTGATCGTGTGGCGTGCTAAGCAGGTCTGATGTGACAAGCTCAGGGTGGCAGACTCCCACCCCGCTGGCGCCTTTTCTGGGAGCTGGGGCAGGGTAATTGCTAAGAGGGCACATTTTCAAGTCACAGGGACCTGGGATGAAACGACGACACTTCTGTGGCAGGTTCTGTGTGTGGACTTAACAGTGACGCCCTGCGAGTCCTAAGCAGGCCTAGCATGTGACCAGCATGCGATCAGCACCAGCCGTCTTCCCCTGCCCTCCCAAATACTAACCTGAGAACTACCCTACACGGCAGAGCTGAGGCATTTAATAGGAGCCAATGTAT